GAGCCCTCGGGTTAAGGGGCAGTGCCAGGCCCGTCCCGCTCCGGCCTCTTGGGTCGGCGTGGGAGGGCTGGATCCAGCGCAGGGCCCCGCTCTGTTTCTGTAAGGACACTGGGAGCGGGGATGAAAACCAGCCAGAAATATGATTAGAGGATTGGAGAAAATGCCTTGGAGTACAAGCTTTAAGAGCTCAATCTGTTTAGCCTATAAAAATAGAAGACTGAGGGGTGACTTAATTACCAAGCATAATTACTTCACAGGCAGAAAATACCAGGTAGTGGAAGTCTCCCTTTAATCGAGCAGGGAAAGGCGCCGGAGAGCCAGGGGCAGGAAAGTGGAGCCGCAGACACATTATAGAGCGCCGTGTCCCGGCAGCGAAGCTCCCCGGGGGTGCGGAGGACGGGCTCCCCAGGGATGGGACATCCCTGCAGCAGCCCTGGGGCTGACGGTCCGTGCTCCATCAGCCCCCATGAGTGAGGTTGTTGCCCCATTCCCTTCCTTCCCACCTGGGCAGCGAGGGGCCGGAGCAGGTTTTTTGGTGGCTGGGTGCCGGCTGGTGGGCACTGCCGGTGATGCCTCCATCCCCCTTCTCTGTCGGCGGCTGGGGGGGGTGCCGGGGCGCATTTTTGCCGGCGAGCCATGGGGCAGGAGCGGAGATTTTGATGCTTCTCCCGGGAGTCCCCAGAGCCATGACTGCAACTGTGCAGACGCTGCGGTTCAAGCTGCTGCCGCACGAGCCAGGCCAGGAGTGGGGGCACAGCTGCCAGCAGGAAATCGAGCGTCGCTACCAGGTCGTGCCGTCAGTGGTGTGCGCCATGTGCTGCCTCTTCGGCATCATCTACTGCTTCTTTGGTGAGCCTGGCCGGTCCGGCAGCTGGAGGGGCAAGCAGGGAGAAGGGCAGGGGGCACCTGGGGGGTTGCTGACCGTCCACCCCCTGATTGCGGTGGTCTCTCCACAGGCTTCAGCTGCTTCAAGGCTGTCATGTTCCTGACGGGGCTGATGTTCGGCTCCATCATCATCTTCATGCTGTGCTACAAGGAGAGGGTTTTGGACACGCAGCTGAGCGTGGAGGCCTCAGTGGGCATCGGGCTGGGCATCGGGGTCCTGTGCGGGCTGGTCACCATGCTGGTGCGCAGCGTCGGCCTCTTCATGGTGGGGCTGCTCCTGGGGCTGCTGCTGGCAGTGGCCACGCTGGTGGTGATGGAGCAGTTCTACCACCCACCGACGGTGTGGATCCCCATCGCGCTGCTCCTGGGTGTCGGGATGCTCTTCGCCGTCCTCACCCTGCAGTGGCAGCGCTTCTTCACCACCCTCTCCACCGCCGTCTTCGGCAGCGCCATCATGACTGTCACCATCGACTACTTCATCGAGCTCTTCCTCCTGGTACAGTACATCTACGAGCGCATCAAGGTGGCCCCCGCTCGCCCCGTGTGCTGGTACAGCTGGGTCATCCTGGGCGTCTGGCCGCTCCTCGCCACGCTGGGTGTCCTGGTCCAGTGGAAGGTCACGGCCGAGGGCTACTCCCACACCGAAGGTATGTGGGGGCTGGAGGAGATGAGCGTGGCGTCAGGTGGGCCACCCGCCACCCCACCAACACAAAGCCCACCCGCCCGAGCCCGCCTACCGCCGCAAACCCAACCCTGTGCGCCGCTTTGATGGGGAGCTGCTCTCCCCTGTGAGTCCCGCACCCAGGGTAGAGATCTTCCACGGCCCTTCCTTCTCCATGTGGGTGGGCTGGGGCACAGAGAGGGGAGAGGTGCAGCTGGCATCCAGGCTCCTCAAGGGACAAGGCTGGGGCATCCTGGGGGCCGGGGCAGCTCAGCAGGGCCTGAGCTGGGACGTACCCACCACGGAGCTCTTCAGCCTTTGTAGGCAAATGTAAACCAGTGGCCAAAAATGCTGCGGCCCACAGTAAAAACAGGCAGCGGGCAAGGTGTGAAGGGTACGCCCAGGAAGGGACGGGGCTGTGCACCCGGCTGCGGCCAGGCCCCACCGGGCCCAAGTGCTGGGGTGGGTGGGATTGCACAGGGCAGGTTCTGGGGGCTGCTGCAGAGCTTAGGGTGGGACAGGATGGAGTGTGCTGGGAGCAGAGCCCCCCTCACTTTCTGTCCCCTCTCTTTCAAGCAGAGCTATATCCAGAGTTTCCGAGAGCGGCAGACGGGGCCGTCCCTGAACAGCCTCATCGCCAGCTCCCACGCCGTAGTGGACCTGGACTATGACTGCAGCTCCACCCTGCCCCCCACC